ACTAGTAGAGTTGTTGCAATTTCCTTTTTTTCAATACCTTTTTTGAAGTTTAAAAAAGACTTTTCTCCGTTACATCTTGTAACAGCAGCAGAGAAAAAAATCCTTAGAACAACATTGACGTTTGAGACTGGATTCAAGTTTCTTTGATTTAATAACCAGTAAATTGAAATGATTTGTTTTTTTGGATTCACTAATATTAGTTTCAACTGAATTGGAAACAAAGTTTTTGTAATGCAGTTTTTTATTCAGAATATAAATGTCCGCATCGTTTAGGTAAATTTAAAAAAGTTTTTTAGCGAACGCTGTGATCACAACAGAATCTATATCTAAAAGACGGACAAAGAATCCAAAACAAGAGAAGCTTAACCTTGTCTTCACCTTTCAATCTCAGTTACAAGTTGATCCATGGTGATCTGAAATTATAACCTCAGAAACCATTTTGCCTTTCCGAATAAATCTAATACCTAAATAGACGTCAATTCGTCATGCTTCCGTTTACGGGCTCAACAGAGCAGTGATGGATATAGGGGATAGGGTATGCCCATTATGGATCCGCCACATAGTTTCATCCCAGGCGTGTATAATACAACAAACAAATTTTCTTTCGCCGACATAGATTAAAAAAAAATTAATTTTTATAAAAAAAAAATTCTTAAAAAATTCTTTGTTTTGTGTCAAATCTATTTAAGACAAAACAAAGAACTTTTTAAGAATTTTTTTTTATAAAAGTTAAATTTTTTTAAATCGGAATGTTATAATTAAAATGAAAGAAACATGATAAAATAAATAATTAAACAAATAGTTAAATAATAAAATGAAAGAAACATATTTTAACAATATTGCAGTCTAATATATCCAAATGAATAAATACAAATGCAAAAAGTTTTTGATGCATTTTTGTTTAACTTGTTTTAAATTGACAAAACTTTTAAATTTATAAATTTAAAAGGATTATAAATGTAAAACAAATAAAGAAAAACTACCCCTATGGGCTTTATTTTTTAAAAGTTACGTTCTAAATGTCTTTTAAACGTTCTTCTACGTAAGAATGTTTAGAAGACGTTTAAAAGACAATTAAAATACATTTAGAACGACCGCTGGGACATCAAAAGCCTTTTTTATTTGTATTCATATACTTTTGAAGGAGAAGAGAGAGGGAGGGGAGAGGGTATGTTTGAACATTTTTTAATTTTGTTTCATTTTTGCGTTTCCTATTTGAAAAGAAAGTCCTCCGTTTCTAATGTATCTTTGGATTTTCAGATTCTGCTGTAGGAGTGGGGGTTGGGAGGGGATGCCTACCCCATCTTCCCCACTGGATCCGTCACTGCAGATAATAATTGTTGTAATAACGAAAAGAAAATTTAAAGAATATTTTAATAGTAAGGATAATAATGAATAACAAGAAAATGTCTAAAAGTTAGAACATATTGTTTTCAGAATTTTTTCAACTAGATTTTAAGATGGAGTAAAGGTATTTTAGAATGTAGTTTTTCGGAATCATTCAAAATGCATACAAGGCTTCTGTTCCATTAAAAGTTGCACAAATAAACAATAAAATGTTTACCATACTTCTGGGTTTTAAAAGATACATCTAGTTTTTTGTAGTAAATATTTCTAGCAAAGTAAGATTATACTAGCCTAGAATCTGTGAACAAGTTTGTAATGAAAGATTGTAAGTTTTTATTTAAAGCGTTATAAGCAAAAAGAAGATTAGCATACTTTACTAGCGCGGTAAATGTTGGAATGGGAAGTTTTTTGAAGGACTTCGATGTCTCTGATTAAATTAGTTGGAAATTTATTAATTTAATGGGTTGAGGCTGAGACGATAACAACTTGTTCATGTGATAGTATCCAACTTGACCCAAAACTTGACCACAATAGCAAAGATAAAATAAAAGTGATGCATAGTAAATATTCTTTACTTTATTGACATAATGACGAATTATTGAAAACATATCGTCAGCTCAAAATTGTTTCTTGGTTCATCAATGTGAAAGTTCATCAATGTGAAAGTTCATCAATGTGAAAGTTCATCAATGTAAAAGTTCATCAATGTGAAAAGTTCATCAATGTGAAAGTTCATCAATGTGAAAGTTCATCAATGTGAAAATTCATCAATGTGAAAGTTCATCAATGTGAAAGTTCATCAATGTGAAAGTTCATCAATGTGAAAGTTCATCAATGTGAAAGTTCATCAATGTGAAAGTTTCATAAAAGATTGCAGTCAATTAACACACCAAGATATTTAATAGATCTCGAAGGATATATCCGTTTATTAATAATTTTGACTGTAATATTTTTAAAGAAACAGTTTTTTCTCGGAGATAAAAAAAAAATTAGTTCAGTTTTTTGATGAAGTCATTTTTTTTGTTTATTTTTTTTCTTCGAACATCAGTTTTTTGGAATTCGCTCCCTTCATCCTGATTCATATAATTTGGAATCTTTTAAGTCAATCGTTATCTTACTTTATACACTACATCTTTTCTCTTCCATTAACTTACAACTCTAATAGTGGTTGCTTGCAGCTTTGTTGGAAGTGAAGATATATAAAAAAAGAATTACTATTTTTCGTATTATTAATATATATCATATATTTAATTTTATTTCAGTTTATCCTATTGTTATTATTATCTTAATTTGTTTCTCCTTCTTTTCTGATTTTTTGAATTATTGAGAAATATAAATTATCTTAACTAGAATAAAAAGTTTTTTTTGATATAATAACTAGATAATTGGTAAGCCTATAAGTAGTTCTTTATTTTAAATAGATATTTGTTATTTGTCATAGTTATTTTATTTATTTTTTCTCTTTTTAAAGTTAATTGCTTAACTGTATTACATATTTATATGAATACCTGTTAATGTTTGTGCTTCAGTCATATTTATATGAATACCTGTTAATGTTTGTGCTTCAGTCATATTTATATGAATACCTGTTAATGTTTGTGCTTCAGTCATATTTATATGAATACCTGTTAATGTTTGTGCTTCAGTCATACTTATATGAATACCTGTTAATGTTTGTGCTTCAGTCATATTTATATGAATACCTGTTAATGTTTGTGCTTCAGTCATATTTATATGAATATCTGTTAATGTTAGTGCTTCAGTCATATTTATGTGAATACCTGTTAATGTTTGTGCTTCAGTCATATTTATGTGAATACCTCTTAATGTTTGTGCTTCAGTCATATTTATATGAATACCTGTTGATGTTTGTGCTTCAGTCATATTTATATGAATACCTGTTAATGTTTGTGCTTCAGTCATATTTATATGAATACCTGTTGATGTTTGTGCTTCAGTCATTTTTATATGAATACCTGTTAATGTTTGTGCTTCAGTCATATTTATGTGAATACCTGTTAATGTTTGTGCTTCAGTCATATTTATATGAATACCTGTTGATGTTTGTGCTTCAGTCATTTTTATATGAATACCTGTTAATGTTTGTGCTTCAGTCATATTTATATGAACACCTGTTAATGTTTGTGCTTCAGTCATATTTATATGAATACCTGTTAATGTTTGTGCTTCAGTCATATTTATATGAATACCTGTTGATGTTTGTGCTTCAGTCATTTTTATGAATGACTTTTCAGAGTTTTATTAAGTTTAATTTGTTTTTGTAATTCCGAAATTTCTTACATTAAAAAAAAAGTTATGAAATTCTTTTATTTGTTTGTCATTTTCTTCTAAATATATAATTCTCATTGGTATTGAGTATGGTATGGTGTTGAGTATGGTATGGTGTTGAGTGTGGTATGGTGTTGAGAATGGTATGGTATTCATACTCAACACATTGCTTTTTAATTTAATAATGTTTTTTTGATTAAAGATGTATATAAAAATTTATATAGTATTTAGTATTTAGTTTTAGATGACATACTTTTATGTTTAAAGGCATATCTAAATGAAGTAATAAGTGCTGGAATTTTATTAAGTTTTGCGTAGACACCCTGAACTGAGTTTCGAAATGATTTACAATAGTTGATTACAAAATTTAGACAAAATGCATTAGTTGATGAGTTTTTTTTCTCCATATTTGCTTTTAAAAACTCTGAGAACACTTGTCCAAATGCCATTTAGCCATGTGTTCTTAAAATAAACAGCAGCTAACAGATTGTCAAAGTTAAATTAATTGAAAAAGAGCTCTGAATGTATCTTAGAATGAAAAAAATGTTTGATCCAACATGAGTCTTAGCTTTCACAACATCCAGGAATTATTTTAGTGTTTTCAGCTTCAATATCCCTCACAGTAGTATCTGGACTGACTTGAGTCACAAAGATGTTGAAGTGACAAATTTTATTTACTGATGAAAGGTATATTCCAGTCAATATTTCACAGAATTTATACTATTAGTAGATATCTAAACTGGCTTTCAGAATCTTAAAAAAAATTCAAAAGTTATTAACTAACAGTTTATTAGTTATTTGGCCAAACAACAGAGGTGAAGAGTCTATTAATATTAAGCTTCTATTATGATCTTTGACTGCTCACTGATAATCAGATGCATCTCCACAGTTTTTCATTGAGCTGAAAATTTATGCAAATTTTGCAACTCTTCATTGAATGACTGATCTAGTAAGTAGCTTTTAATTGTGTGATTTCTATTTTGGAATAGAAAGGTTCTTAAACTGTGCTGCAAAATAAGTTATATAAACTGTTGAAAATTGAGGTAAATTTGTGGCCCAATTTAAAGGCACCTGTGTACTTGAGTCCAAACACAGTTTTTATATGACGATGTGAAAAAATTTTAATTACCCTTTATGACTTAGGATTTAAAACATACTATTTATTGCCAAGTTTGCGTTGAAAACCGTGATATTATGTAAACACACATAATATCACGGTTTAATTAATATTATGTAAACACACATAATATCACGGTAATAATTCTACTTTTTTTTAGCTCTTCCTGTGGTCTACAGTGCCTCACAATTAAGTCTTTGTAATATTTCAATAGTATATTAAATAAAATGCTAATTTTTTTTTCTAGCTATCAAATGTAATCCAGATCCTGTAGTTATTGCATTATTGGCTCATCTTGGAGTAAATTTTGACTGCGCTAGTAAATGTGAAATTAAAGCTGTTCTTGATTTGGGTGTTGACCCTGATAGAATTATTTTTGCTAACCCATGTAAGCAAGCATCTTATATCAAGTAAGTTCAAACTTATATATAAATATATATATATATATATATATATATATATATATATATATATATATATATATATATATATATATATATATATATACATATATATATATATATATATATATATATATATATATATATATATATATATATATATATATATATATATATATATATATATATATATATATATATATATATATATATATATATGTGTGTGTGTGTGTGTGTGTGTGTGTGTGTGTGTGTGTGTGTGTGTGTGTGTATGTATTTCATTTTTACTTATCATTGAATTTTGTTTAGTAAGAAACCTCAGTATTCTATAAAATTTAAGTTAAAGTTAAAACCCTGTGATATGAGTTTTAATCGGCTTATGAAAAAGTTGTGATATGATCTTTTTATAATAAAATTATCAATGACTGATTTATATATAGTTATAAAGTCTTCACTTTATAGTGAAGACTTTATACAGTTTCTTAAAATTTTTAAAATCTAAGGTAAGCTTAAAACTAACAAACTTGAAAGTAGTTTTAAGATCATTTCATTTAAAATTGGTTTTTTTTTCTCCAATTTTAACTGTCTAAAGAAACTCACACTGAATAATTGACTGATATAATTTACCAAGGTAATTTACCTATTGAGGCCAGTACTTAAAGCAATAAAGTTATGTTCAACCTTGTTCGTAAAAAAGCCAATCCTTTGGCTTTTTTATGAAGAAAGGGGTACAAAATTTATGAGCAAAGGTGTACATCGTGATCATCTACAAAATGTCCAACCACAGAAAAAGTGGAAGAACTGAACATGGGAACTACCATCTGACAGTTACAGTAAAAAAATAACCATTCATGCTAGTTTGTGTTTTGATTGATTGTGTAAAAGATGGTTCCATTATTCAGCAATGAAAGCTAGTTTTTAGTAGTAAAGAAAAAGTGGTTATTTTTGTAACCACAAAATTTTATTAAGTAGAAATAGACCTAATACCTTGTGGTATGTCATTTAATTCTGAATTAAAGTTTTTAAATTGATAGTTTTTATTATTTGCATCTAAATTATTTATATAATAAACTACTAGTTGATTAACGAAGAATTTTTCCATTAAGTTAGTTTACCTTAAATTCCATGATTGTTTAATTTTAAAACATTTCTGATTGAGCAAGGATGACTCGTCTTTTTTTAATCTGTACTTTAACATTCTGGCATTCTAAATAATACTCATTCTGTTCCGAAAAACTGGTCTGATTTGCATTTAACGTAAAGAATTATTGAAGATAAATGGCGTTATTAATTTATTTTTATTTTTCATATAAAATATATAATATTTTATATGATAAAATATATCAATAATATATATATATATATATATATATATATATATATATATATATATATATATATATATATATATATATATATATATATATATATATATATATATATATATATATATATATATGTATATATATATATATATATATATATATATATATATATATATATATATATATATATATATATATATATATATATATACCGTGCTCAACTTGTTACTCTGCGCAGTGGCCTTGTTTGTCAAGGTTTGTGTTTCGGAGTTATAGAGTTGAGAGAGGGTTGTAACCACAACTAAAATAGCCTCCTTAACATTAGTGGCCTTTATGGACTTAAGGAAGTAAATTAAAACTAAATATAAAACATAAGGAAATAGAATGCTAGTATAAAGGTCACCATTTTGTTTATATAAATGTAATTAGAGTCTTTTTTTTTTAATTTTGTTTAAACATTAGATATGCAAATGAAAAAAATGTAAAGAAAATGACGTTTGATAATGAAGCAGAACTGTATAAAATAAAAGAACATTTTCCAGGTGCTGAGCTTGTCATAAGAATCAAAGTAGATGATTCAAAGTCAATTTATAAGGTAAAATATTTTTTTTATTATAGATAGTTTTTTGAATTTTAAATAAATTATTTTTTTCTTTTCCTTTTTCACAATTCCATGCAAAAGTAATAAATAATTAAATTTTTCTAGTCACTCATATTTTTTTAAAGTTAAAACCAATGGTATCTATCAATAAAGAAAAAAAAATGCAAAATTTAAACTCTTTTAACCACATTTCCCTTCATTTGTTTTTAAATTTGTGCACAAATGAAAAATTTGAACTAGAAAAGGAAATTCTTCATAGAGATATCTTTCATAGAGATATCTTTCTGATATTGCAAACATCAATGACTTACCTCAAAATAATTTAGTCTCTAACAAAGAGTGCAACAAGGTTTTATTTTATTGCTTCATAATTGCAAATATATATATATATATATATATATATATATATATATATATATATATATATATTTATATATATATATATATATATATATATATATATATATATATATATATATATATATATATATATATATATATATATATATATATATATATATATATATATATATATATTCTTTAAAAGTCATTTCTTGTTATACGATATGCTTATAAATATATAAATTGGTCACAATAAAAAAGGCAGCGTATAACTATTTTTAAAATATACTTTGATATAATAATATATTAACGATATTTCGCAAACCTATTGTGGTCAGCGTCATCAGGTAATGAAAAAACGTTACAAAATAACAAAAAATAAACCGTTTAAAAAAGAAGACATTAAAAAGCGTAAAATATAAAAACCAATCAAGTGATATAAAAATGACGTCAGTTAATTTTTTGTCGAAATTGTTCCCCAAGTTTTTGTTTTCAGATTATCGCCGTCATCTCTATTTAGAACAGTTTGCCGTGTCATCTCGTGTCAAACTTTTGATTTATTTATCTCCGTGTTTTAGAACAGTTTGCCGTGTCATCTCGCGTCAAACATTTGATTTATTTATCTCCAAGGATTCTCTAACTTTTCTTATCTTGTATTTTGGAATAACTGCCAAGGTCTTAGGATTCAGCCAATTAAAAGTACCGCGGCATGTTCTAGAATGTTCTGTGGCTCCGGAACTCGACCATTTTTGAATTTTACAGGTTCTTTGGTGTTCTGCACTTTTTGAAGAGATTTTCTTTTTGGTCTCACCAATATATAAACTTCCGCACGAGCATTGAAGCTCGTAAACACCCGGATTTGAGTTCGGAGGTAGTTTTGTTTTGTTATTGCAATGTATGTTATTTAAATTGGGGGCTGAAGTAAATATAACTCTGTTGTTTTGTTCAAGTCCATTACGTACGAAAAAAGATGAAAATATAATGAAAGAATGCAGAAAAAAATTATTAATTCATGCTCGAAACGAAGCAAAAGAAAGATTATGTTCAAGTAAGAAATTAATTGATGAATTAAATTTATATCTCCAATAACAAATAAGATCTAATGATTGTGATTTAATTAATAATATAACAAGCAAGTCTAAAAATTACCATTATTTTAAAAAAAAAATTAAATGAAGGAAAAGTATATTAAATTGAAAATAATATCAACTATAAAATCAATTTTGAAAAAAATGTTCCTAATCGAATTTTAAAACCAGCTATGCTAAATTTAACAAATATTAATCTGGATAAGGCAAACACTGAACTACTTAATCTTGGTTCAAAGTTTGCCCCATCACAAAAAAAAATCCCTTATATGGATATCATCACTAATATTGAAATTTGTACCTTACAACTTAGCAACAAAAACCAACTTAGTAACAAAATAAACAAACACAGAAGATTCTTCGACAAAACTGTTTAAAAATCCTAACTAGTTCTTCAAAATTAAAACTAAAAGATATTTTAACAAAACAAAAACGCTTTTCTTTACAAAACCTAAAAAAACATTTACATCTAAAGATATATCCATATAATAAAGAAGCAGGTTTTGCTTTATTATACGAAAATGAAACAAAAGATAAATTAGAGGAACAAATAAAAAATAGTAAAGTTATTGATTACGACCCAACACCCACATTTACAACTAAATTTCAAAAACTGTTATGTAAATTAAGAAAACAGGGTAAGTTAGACAATGCCACTTTCTTTAAAATGTATCTATCAGATTGCGTCCCAACTAGAATCTACGGATTGTATAAAACTACCCAATGCGTCCTGTTGTTTCCATTATTAACACACCACCTTACGGAACATCAGAGTATCTGGTTAAAATTATTCAACTAACATTAAATAAAAATACAACTCGACTAATTATTTCATGTAGTTTTGTCAACGATGCTAAAGAATGGAAGATAGGCCCTAACGAAATTCAAGTTTCATTTGAAGTAGTGAATTTATATCCATCTGTATCGATCAATGAAGCAATATCGGTTATTGTTAACATATTGAACGATGATTTGGAGGATTTAAAAACTAGGACTAAATTAACTCTTTTAGATATACACCAGTTAATTGAACTTTCATTAAGCAAATGTTACTTTTTATACGAAGACAAAATCCGAATTTTACCTAATTCAGGTCCAATTGGTTTATCATTAATGGTAGTCATAGCTGAAGCATTTTTGCAAAATATAGAAAAAAGAGCCCTTAATATACCGTTTGTTTATTCATTCAAACCAATAACTTACAAAAGATATGTAGACGATACCCATGCTCGCTTCGATTCGAAAGAAAAACAAGAACTATTTCTTAAAACTTTAAATGAACAAAACCACTCCATAAAATATGTTGAACTTGAAAACGAAAGAAAACAACTAAAGTTTTTAGATATTTCTATTACAAATACAATGAACGGATTTTATGAATTTCAAGTACAGCGTAAGGATGCGATAACCAATGCTCAAATAAAACCAAACTCTAACACCAACCCAAGCATAATCACTGGCGTTTTTAAAAGTTTTTTATGTAGAGCAAAACAAATCTGCTCTAAAAAACATCTCTCACAAGAAATTGATTTCTTCATAAATACATTGTTTCAAAACGGTTATAACAAAAGTTATTTTATTAAAATAACCAAAAACTATTTAGACCGCATTTCAAAAAATACTACATCTAAAATATTGGATAAGCAATTTGTTAAACTACCGTGGATACTTATTATTGGCCCTAAACTACGAAGAGAATTTAGAAAACAAAACATCAGAGTTATATTTACTTAATAATGTGAAAACAAAAACTTGAGGACCAATTTTGACAAAAATTTAACTGACGTCACTTTTATATTATTAGATTGGTTTTTATATTTTACGCTTTTTAATGTCTTCTTTTTTTAGCGGTTGGGTTTTTGTTATTTTGATGATTCTGACCTCAATAGGTCTGCGAAATATCGTCAATATATTATTATATCAAAATATATTTAAAAAATAGTTATATATATATATATATATATATATATATATATATATATATATATATATATATATATATATATATATACATATATATATATATATATATATATATATATATATATATATATATATATATATATATATATATATATATATATATATATATATATATATATATACATATATATATATATATATATATATATATATATATATATATATATATATATATATATATATATATATATATATATATATTATAAATAATGTGAGAAATATTACAAACAATAAATCAATTAAAACTTACTTGACGTTTTTACAAAATTAAAAATACACTAAAGTTTTAATTTTTTTTTAATAATTTATTATATTTAAACATAGTTAACAAAATGTAGGTTTAGGTAAGGTTTGTTATAGGTATTACATAGAATATTTTATAGTAATGACATCAATTAAACTTAATGGTTTGTTAAAAATTAATTATAAAATTTAAAAAAAAAGCAAAAAACATTTAAGATTGTTTATGAAATTGCTAACATATAGACACAAAGATGCAATCAAATGTTGAAAAGAAGGTGAAACATATTGGACATCTGAATATCAGTTGTAGGACAAAGTTGTAGGACTTCTCGAATCTCACATTTCTTTTATTACCTCAGAATCAGCTTCCAACCAATGGGTTACTCCTAAAACATTATCAATACTTTATTAGCAGTAGATCAAAGCAATTAAAAAGTTTTTATGATATTTTTTACCTTTGCTATGGGATTAAATTTAACTTGAAATGCAAAGGAAAAATAACGCGTTATAAGAAAAATTGAGTCTTTTTAGAAAATAGTGAATATCTTGTGGTTATAAAAACTATTTTATTGAAGAGGATAAAATATTATAAAAAATTTGAGAAAATTCAGAAAAAATTGGTGTCAATGACCAAGGGAAAGGTGAAAAATGGCACTAAAGAAAAGTTAGTTAAAGAATTTCAATCAATCAAGGAGATTTTTTGACATTGGAAAACCCAATATTAAAGAGCTTAAACAACTCAGTCAAGATATCCCATGAAACAAAGAAAATAAAGAAGAAGATTTAGGATTTTTGGAAGGTCAGGGTAGTACGTGAAAACAAAATTTATAAGCGGGCATATAAATGAAGAACTTGAAGTAATGGTTAAATGTAGACAAGAATGGTGCCGTAGGTCAACAGAATATAAGAAAAAAATATCAATAGAGACTAATGGAGATGCCGAATATCATAATCAAGAGACCTACAACTACTTTGTTACAATTAATTTTTTCTAAATCTAAGTCTCTTCTAAGTTAAGAACCCTCAATTAAAAATGCTGATGCAAAATATTCAAGTAAGATAAAATCAATGTTTGAATCAAATAATTTTTATCACTAACTAAAATGTATATTGTTACATACATGTTGTATATTACTTTATAGAATAAATACAATAGTATTAACAAATATTTTTAATTTTTGTTAATATTATTGTAGATCTTTCAAATCTAGCATTGATAGTAAGTAATACAAGTTATGATTCTAATGTGGATGAATATCAGCAAACAACATCAAACAATGCTAAAAAAGAAATTAAACAATGTACCACTAGTCAATAAAGTAATAACGCTAGATGGCC